AAAACTTATATTATAAAATACAAATTGTTTAAAGAAAAAGAGAGAGATAAAGAAATAATAATACTTATATACATTATTCTTAAACTTCTGCGTACTGTTATACAAAATTAAAGAGTAAATTATAGACATTATAAGTTTAATAAAAATAAAAGTGTGCATCTTACCAGTGTTATTTGTGTCAATATTTTCATTTAACTCTTTTACTTCAGCTACTTCGATATTATCTATTTTCTTTTCTTGTTCCTTTGTAACAAGGTTCTGCAAAAATGCTGTCTATAAAAAAATAACATAATAATTATTAAAGTAAAATGACACAACTATTATAATACATAATCAATACATTAATTAAATCAATATAATATATTGATATAACGTTAGTTTGCTTTCTCCATATCTTCTTTATTTAAAAATAAAGTTATAACTTCATTAGTTTCTTCTATTAAAACTGGAAATTCATATAATTGTTCCATTGTGATGAAGTCCGTTGGGCCCGTTATCTGCTTATTACGCACAAAACTACATGAAACGCATAGGATACGTTCCAAATTGCGCATGAAACGCATAGGCTGCATGGGCTGCATCAAACGCATTAATTGCTTCAAGTCGAACTAGAAGCAGTCAATGCGCTGGAAAGATTGTTAAGAATTCAGTACGGTTAGTACAATCTGGAGAATTCTGAGCGCTACGAAAGCGCAACTAATACCTCGTCTACAATAGAAGTCATAGAGTCGTAAGTCGTACAAATTGACCAATCGCGGTCGACTATTTTTCTCTTACCGGACTATGATTGGTCAATTTCTACGACTTACGACTCTACGACTTCTATTGTAGACGAGGTATAATGCGCGCATTGACAATCGGAACGATTTCCTATGCAGTCTATGCGCTCTATGCGCATTTTGGAACGCACCCGAAATATTTCTTCCCAAATTGCGGGTAGTGCGTTGCGTGAAAGATGAGAAGGAGAAAGGGTAAGACGGGAGAGATTCTAGTTTAATGATATGATCTGCCGTTGACTCGCCGTTGCCTCCTCTTGCTGCGCGTACGCGGCATCGGTGGTGCGACAAAGACGGAGAACGATTGATTGTTTATGCTTTTCTATCTTACTATCTTCCTTACGGAAGTAGAGTGAATAAAAATCGTGCACGCTTTACCATTATCGTCAGAACGGGCGTAGTGTGCAAACATTTTCTCAGAGAGCGCATCGGAAAAAGCGTCCCGGCGTAACCGACCTGCTGGCCGCTCTCATATTTCTCTCTGGATAGAAGCAGAGAGAAGCCTGAGAGCGGGCATAGCTACATTTATAGCGTTATGGAAAAAGAGTTGGCTGATTCGAAGCGCCAACTGGGTCCATTTTTCATGAACTACTAAGCCAATGTCCACGATTTGTTGGTACTATTCCGTGCTATGTCCATAATTATTTGGTTCTGTTCTGTGCTATCTTCACGAGCGAGCTAGATTAGTTAGATAAAAACGAAGAATCGGTCTTTGTCTCACCACCAGCGAATAGACAATCGCGACGAAGCGAGCCAGCAGCGATGATATCGTAAGGCAGACGTCGCCGTCTCCCCTTTCACTCCCTTGTTTTCCTTTCCACATTATTTTATATTCATAATTCGGGAAGAAAATAATTTCAAGAGTTCGGACGATTTCTAGCAATGACGCGACAGAGATAACGCGCGGCCACATTAATTTGTCATGACTTTTATATTACTTATAATTACATAAACGCCCATATATGCAAATTATAAATAATTATTGAGCGTATGTTTTAATATTGTACAATGGTATATAATAACAACAACTTCATTTCTTGCAGTATTTTTTTTAAGATCTTCGTTGAGGTCGTGAATTAATTTTTTTCTTCATCAATCAGTTTTCTGCAAAAATTAAGATTTTTTAAATAAAATAGAAAATGTTTCTCTTCTCTTCTCTCCGAAGAGTTAATTAAAAAATGTGTACTCCACAGAGTCAACTAAAAAATGTGTAGTCAGAAGAGTCAATTTAAAAGTGTACTCCGAAAAGTCAATTTAATAGCGTATTATTCCGAAGAGAATATATTTCCAATTTGAAAGCGCACTCTGAAAAATCAAATTGATATTGTAATCCGAAAAGTCAGTTTATAATAGAATATTTATTTCGATGATTCAGCTAAAGAAAAAAATATTTATTATTATATTCAGAGAATAATATTTAATTTATTATTTATACTTATCTTATTTATGCTTACCCTACGTATGCTTCTTTGAATGAAAAATTTAATTTGTTGACTGATTCAGATTCAGATTTGTTAAAATATCTCTTATGCGCAACTTTTGAACAGGTAGGTAGTAAAATAATTTTTTTTTTACGAATTTTATAATTTTTCACGAACATAAAAGTTGAAAGATTCTCAGAGAACAAATAACTTTTCTTAAACATTTAAACCAAAGGAAAATCTTTTCCCATTAATAAAGAATGAATAATTAATATCTCACACAAGAGGAATCTTCATCCTTGAAATCACCGTGCGATTTTGCTTTTAGAAAACTATAATATTGATGTAATAGTAACAAATACTATCCAAACACGGTGCAAATCTTAATCTCTTTTTGAGAAATGCAGTTTGAAGTTTAGTCTTTCTGTTAATGGCGTTATAGCAGAAGAATTACCAATTTGCTTCAGTAGCACAGTGGACCAGGCTTTGTGATATGAGCGTAAAGGTTGTTCAAGTGTGTTATTTTTACTATCACAGAGAGAACTATGTAGAATGTATAATAATACGCAGACAAATTCTTTACATAATCATACTTATTTCTTTTAGCATGAATAAAAATGATCAATGCTAACATGATAAGTGTATATCGCAATTGTACGTGTATACTTACACCGAACAAGCTGCGAACAAGCGTAACTTGTAAATACCGGAGATCAATTGTTTATCAGCTCATAGACAATTAATATGACGAGATACCCGCGGAGACCCGTGTACTTCTCTTTCTTTGCGTACAATTGCGATCAATAAAAAATTTTCACGAATTGTTCAGTTTTGACATCATTGGTATACGTGTGTATGTGTACACGTACAATTGCGATATACACTTATCATGTTAGCATTGATCATTTTTATTCATGCTAAAAGAAATAAGTATGATTATGTAAAGAATTTGTCTGCGTATTATTATACATTGTACATAGTTCTCCCTGTGATAGTAAAAATAACACACTTGAACAACCTTTACGCTCATATCACAAAGCCTGATCCACTGCGCTACTGAAGCAAATTGGTAATTCTTCTGCTATAACGCCATTAACAGAAAGACTAAACTTCAAACTGCATTTCTCAAAAAGAGATTAAGATTTGCACCGTGTTTGGATAGTATTTGTTACTATTACATCAATATTATAGTTTTCTAAAAGCAAAATCGCACGGTGATTTCAAGGATGAAGATTCCTCTTGTGTGAGATATTAATTATTCATTCTTTATTAATGGGAAAAGATTTTCCTTTGGTTTAAATGTTTAAGAAAAGTTATTTGTTCTCTGAGAATCTTTCAACTTTTATGTTCGTGAAAAATTATAAAATTCGTAAAAAAAAAATTATTTTACTACCTACCTGTTCAAAAGTTGCGCATAAGAGATATTTTAACAAATCTGAATCTGAATCAGTCAACAAATTAAATTTTTCATTCAAAGAAGCATACGTAGGGTAAGCATAAATAAGATAAGTATAAATAATAAATTAAATATTATTCTCTGAATATAATAATAAATATTTTTTTCTTTAGCTGAATCATCGAAATAAATATTCTATTATAAACTGACTTTTCGGATTACAATATCAATTTGATTTTTCAGATTGGCTTTCAAATTGGAAATATATTCTCTTCGGAATAATACGTTATTAAATTGACTTTTCGGAGTACATTTTTAAATTGACTCTTCTGACTACACATTTTTTAGTTGACTCTGTGGAGTACACATTTTTTAATTAACTCTTCGGAGAGAAGAGAAGAGAAACATTTTCTATTTTATTTAAAAAATCTTAATTTTTGCAGAAAACTGATTGATGAAGAAAAAAATTAATTCACGACCTCAACGAAGATCTTAAAAAAAATACTGCAAGAAATGAAGTTGTTGTTATTATATACCATTGTACAATATTAAAACATACGCTCAATAATTATTTATAATTTGCATATATGGGCGTTTATGTAATTATAAGTAATATAAAAGTCATGACAAATTAATGTGGCCGCGCGTTATCTCTGTCGCGTCATTGCTAGAAATCGTCCGAACTCTTGAAATTATTTTCTTCCCGAATTATGAATATAAAATAATGTGGAAAGGAAAACAAGGGAGTGAAAGGGGAGACGGCGACGTCTGCCTTACGATATCATCGCTGCTGGCTCGCTTCGTCGCGATTGTCTATTCGCTGGTGGTGAGACAAAGACCGATTCTTCGTTTTTATCTAACTAATCTAGCTCGCTCGTGAAGATAGCACAGAACAGAACCAAATAATTATGGACATAGCACGGAATAGTACCAACAAATCGTGGACATTGGCTTAGTAGTTCATGAAAAATGGACCCAGTTGGCGCTTCGAATCAGCCAACTCTTTTTCCATAACGCTGTAAATGTAGCTATGCCCGCTCTTAGGCTTCTCTCTGATAGAAGTAACCGCAAGACACGACATAACATTAGAATGATCAGATATTTAATTCGAATTGTAAATAGTTATTGTTCTTGTAAAATTGGGTGTTAAAAATAATGTTTAGTTTAGTAATAATGTTTATAGAAAAGTGTAATTTAATAACTATTGTTTTCTATATTTTATAACAATTATTAATGTTACTTTTTTATAATGTTATTTTATTCAATAACATTTAAGGAAATAATATTCATCATTGTTCAGTTATGTAATATTTATTTTTATATTATTATTATGTGTGTTATAATTATATTTCTATGTTAATAATCTATGTTACAGAAATATTAGTTTCTACTTTTTTACTTTTAATTTTTCACATGAGATATAATAAAAAATGGAAAATGAAAAAGATATTTGTGTGAAAAATTCATAATCGACTTCTTGTTGGCAACATAATTTAACTGAGGATTAATAGCAAAAACTAAGTAACATTTGCAGTATATTTTATTTAAATATATTTAAATTATTACAGACTGTTACAAATTGTTACAGACTGACAAATTCTATTTAATTTCTGTCATTAATCTATAGTTGTATTCTATTATATTCTGTGGAATCTATTAGCACTAGCATAAGTTACCAATAAAAATGTATAACAAAAAATGAGTAAAATTGTTTCTGCAGATAGCTACAGTATATATATATTTTTTTTATCAAAGCTTCTGTTGAATAAAGTTTAAGGAAATTTTTATTAAGTTCAAACTATTACTTTTAATCTAGGAATCAGTCATTGTTTTAATTAATATTAATAGTAGATATTAAGTAAAAATAAATGTTATTCAAAATATCTGCCAAAATAGTCATTATTCGATAAACAAAAAGAACCCTAGCTACATAATAATAACAAATTTATAATTTCTTTTAGACTGTTCAATATGCAAACTTCAGTTCCACTTAAATTTGGTTGTATTGGGAAATGTACAGCTAATATATTACCTGAAGTACTAGATAAACTTACAGATAATATAAGCAAAACTTTGTCTCATCCAGAGGCTAGAAAAATCTTCAAAAAATATCTCAAAAATGGAAATCTTAAAACTAGCCTAGAATGTGTAGACCTATATGAAACTTGTTCTGAATTAATTTCCAGAGAAACAAATCAATCGTAAGTCTACTAGTTATAAATTCTATAAATTGCATATATGTAGCCTTGCCTGTAGAAATATTTATTAAGAGTATGTATAAAAAAAGTAACATTGTGTAAGTAGAATTATATTAAGTTAGATTATGCATTGTGTGTATTATATTTATTTTCCCATATTTTAAGAATCTCCATCTTCAATGTTTTAATTAATATAATTTCCAGGCAATCCAATGAATTCAATCTGGAATACTTGTATAACGATGTAATGATGGTGAATAAGATTGCCGAGAAGTTGGATGTTCAAGAAATTGATTTCACACTCTTGATGCAATTCCGCACTGCTTTAATGACCAAAACTAGAGATGAACTTCTTCAAGTACTTATAAACACTATAGATCGATTGCAAGATGCTTTAAATCATATACATAAGAATTTTAAACTTTATATTTTAGAGCCATGCCCTAAAACATTAGGTATAAACAAAACAGTAGAAGAGTTTTAAATGCTTCCAAGTTTTTTTTTATTAAATTCATGTACTACGAAAATGTGTGATGTATATACTTTCAATTCATTTTTATCTATCATAACTTATAATCTTAGTTCTTCAAGGTAAAACTTGTGATGTCAGAAATGAGGAAATCTGCATATAGTGTTACTTTTAATACTACTAGTTATTTATTGATTGTTACAGTGAAGGAAAACAATATTTTTTAAATATTTTAGAAATATATTAATTGATTGCTAATGTCATTTTATGGATACATATTTTTATTTCTTTGTAATTTGTATAATGCATTCTTAATCACCATCTTAAAACACAAGTTGTAAAGTATATTAAATTTCAACTCAACTTAGCATTTATTGTGAACGTAATATATATAATTTATTATTATTTCATATTAATTTATTATTACGTACTGCTATACAATTTAAATATCTGTATCATCAAAATCATTAAGAATACTAAGTGTATTTGTATAAGTTTTTTTACAATGACCTATATTATTACCTCCCAAAATATTTCCCTCTCCTCCAGCCCCGCTTTATATACAGGGTATTTCAGAACTTTGGGACACGGGCTCCGTAGGGACATAGAGCTAAGTGAGAAGAACAAAAAAGTCCTGTACCATAATGTGAAAATCGTAAGTTTTTTTAATTATAACAGCGCAAAGTTAGGCGTTTTCCACGTCCAGCGCGGCCTATAGATGCTCCGCGGTAAGCTGTGTGCGTAGGGGCTGATAACGGGAGCGATAACGCGTCTCGCGCTGACTGTCGCGATGGCGTCTTAGCGCTTTGACGCCGCGCGACGGTCAGCGCGAGATGCGTTATCGTATTAATGACAGAAATCTGAGGAATGGGAGCGCGCCGACATAGATGATTGGAGAAACATTGCAGCTACTCAGGCCACAGCGCACCCCACTCGATCTAGCAACTGTTGGTGGCGTGCGGCGAGACGTAGGTCCGACGAGATAAAACAACGAATAGCAGCGCATTGTCTTTCCCCCCGCCGCGCACCGGCAATAGTTTCTGGATCGACTGGGCCGCGCTGCGGTCTAAGCAGCTGCAATGCTTCTCCAATCATTTACACCTGCGCGCTCCCACTCCTCAGATTTCTGTCATTAATAACTCTATAATTATTGCGAATCTCGCAAAACGGTATGAAACTTTTATATTTGTCTTAACCCAATCTACCTTCACACTTCGGGTTGTAAACTTATAACCCCCCATCCTGTATATACAGGATGTCCCAAAAGTAACGGACGACCCTAATAACTCTTCAGTATTGAAGTTTCAAGAAAAGTGATCTGAATAAAAGTTGTAGAGATTTAAGTGAGCTACCTTATGATGACCTGGACTTTGTCCTTGACTTCTATTTTCAAAGTCATTTGAAGGTCAACTTGCGTTTTTGGGGGAACTCTTATTTTTTATTACACTTTTTTTCTACTAGTTAATTTGAACAACTTTTGTCTAAAACATTTTTTTACTTGTCTAATATTTTTTGAGATATTTGGGGAAAGCTTGGTAACTTTTTTAATATTTAACTTACGATATCTCGCTAACTATTTGTCGGAAGAAAAGGTGGTACTAGACTTTCTTCCTTTATTTAGTCTCAAGTATATATTGTTACAATAACGTACTAATTTTTGTTAATTTAATGATTTTGAAATTTCCAAAAGTCAATAAGTAGACTTACGATTGATTTGTTTCTCTGGAAATTAATTCAGAACAAGTTCATATAAGTCTACACATTCTAGGCTAGTTTTAAGATTTTCATTTTTGAGATATTTTTTAAAGATTTTTCTAGACTCTGGATGAGACAAAGTTTTGCTTATTATCTGTAAGTTTATCTAGTACTTCAGGTAATATATTAGCTGTACACTCAGAAACAGGTATGGTGTCCCTCGGCGATGTCATATATGCTTGTAAAACAATCGAAAGCGATGACAGGCATATACGCATACGCATACCTATAAAACATAGCACCGTTGCAGCAACATTGCAGCAACGTTGTTTTGCAAGATTGCAACATTGCAGAAACGATGCGAAATGTTGCTGCAATCTTGCAGCAAAGGTAAAATGTCCGCTTGCAGCAATATTGCAATGAAATATTGCAGTAACATTGCAGTGTAACATTGCAGCAACATTTGTAATATAATTTGTATGCAATAATGCTGTGTGTGTGTGTGTGTGTGCGTGCGTGCGTGCGTGCGTGCGTGCGTGCGTGCGTGCGTGCGTATTATTATTTCTATCAAATTTGAAATCAATCGTCTGCTTAGTTTCTGAAAACAAATTCGTAAAAATAGCTTATTTTTCTGGCCTACAGATAGGATTCCCTCCTTAATCGGCATTTCTGTTAAGGAGAAAAAAGGAAAGCGCGATACATGGCTATTAGAGCAAGCGAGATACCTATAGAGACAGCGCGATGTCTCTATAATTGTCTCATTCATATTCCCTGCAAGCGTAGAGTGAGTGAGACAGCTATTGGGGACACCATTAATCGTACCACGTCTGCTAATGCTTTCTCGATCGTGCAACGTGCGATAAGGATGCAACATCGGAACATCTCCCACAACTTCTCCTTCGCTTCTCTCACGCTGTACAGTACGCCCATATATGTATACATATATGCCTGTCGTCGCTTTCGATTGTTTTACAGGCGTATACGACATCGCCGAGGGATACCATACCTGCCTCTGAGTATACATTTCCCAATACAGCCAAATTTAAGTGGAACTGAAGTTTGCATATCGAACAGTCTAAAAGAAATTACAAATTTGTTATTATTATATTATATTTTGTTATTATTATTACAATATTGTTATTATTGTTATTATTACATTATATTATATAGCTAGGATCCTTTTTGATTGTTTAACGTATGACTATTTTGACAGATATTTTGAATAACTTTTATTTTTACTTAACATTCACTATTAATATTAATTAATACAATGACTGATTCCTAGATTAAAAGCAATAATTTGAACTAAATAAAAATTTCCTTAAGTTTTATTAAACAGAAACTTTGATAAAAATAATATATATGTTATATACTGTAGCTATCTGCAGAAACAATTTTCTCATTTTCTGTTATGAATTTTTATTGGTAACTTATGTTAGTGCTAATAAATAGATTCTACAGCATATAATAGAATACAACTATAGATTAATGACAGAAATTAAATAGAATTAGTCAGTCTGTAATAATTTGTAACTGTGACAATTTGTAACAGTCTGTAATAATTTAAATACATTTAAGTAAAATATACTACAAACGTTACTTAGTTTTTGCTATCAATCCTCAGTTAAATTATGTTGCCAACAAAAAGTCGATTATGAATTTTTCACACAAATATCTTTTTCATTTTCTATTTTTTATTATATCTTATGTGAAAAATTAAGAGTAAAAAAATAGAAACTAATATTTCTGTAACATAAATTATTAACATAAAAATATAATTATAACACACATAACAATAACCCAGAGAGCAAAAGGACATCCTTAGGACATCCTTAGAACGTCCAGGACAGAGTTTACGGATATCTCCCCGTGGACTCCACCTTGTTGTGGTGGGAAAGCTTCAGAGTCCCTGAGAAGTACAAAGCTGTACCGGCGGGGGCTTCGGCCCCTGACAGGTTCTACCATGCCGGGGTGGTCTGTGCGGAGGGACCGGACTAAGTGTGTCCAATATTCGTCTCGGGAGGGGCAGCTGCTTCCTGATGGCCAGACCGGGATTAGGGGGCTGCTCTGGGATGGTCCGTATCCGAGCGGTCCTGAGGCGGCTCGAAGGACCCAAGAACGGGCATCCGAGCCCTACAGCGCGGGCGTCGGGCTCGTTAGCCTAGCCTTTGGTAGGCAGCCGAACATGAGGAAGGAAAACTCTGTGTGTGAAAACCCGGACGTCCAGACTCAATGAGTAACCTCGGAGGAGTAATCTCGGAAGAGATGATCCACGAGGGAGGCAACAGGACCCGAGGAAGGAAAACCTCGTAAACAAACCCGTGGCGATGGGGCCCGCAGCCCGTTGCCGTCAGGGAACCTGCCGTCACTCTGGCGACATCGGATACCTAACGAGGGGAAGGAATACCCATTGTAAAAACCCGGGCATTTGGGCCCGAAAGTATGGCAGCATACACCAGACGATGGGAGGACAACCCACTGGAAAAACTCGGGCAAGCCGGACTCGAGAGACTGAGGCCTACTCAGGTCTCGTCATCCTTGCCGGAGAAGGAACTTCGATATCAATCCCGGAGAAGGAGCCCTCCGAGATCAAAACCCGGGCGCACGGGCTCGCGAGTATGGAAGCCCAGACACCCGTGTCGCGGGGAAGGAAACACCCCGTCCAAAAAACAGGTGGCGATGGCATGTGGGGCTCGTTAGGCGGGCGCTCGTCAGATGACTTCGGCCAGCCTCGCGACGCTAATCACCCAACGAGAGGAAGGAAACCCTAACGTAAAAACCCGGGGGGCGGCCTCGTTGAGCCTGGTGTAGGTGACCGTCACGGGGAAGGAAAACCTCGGTAACAAGCCCTAAGGAGAACAATCATACGCAAAAACCCGGGAAGTGATTGGGTTCGTGACCCAATCCGGAGAGAAAACTCCGGATGAAAACCGAGTGTTCAGGTTCGCGTCTGGGTGGACTAGACATCCGGGAATAGGGGAAGGACAACTCTGATAGAAAACCCGGGAGTCAGCCGTTAACCTTTCGGTGGTCTGACCGGGCGATCGGGCTCGGGAGCATGGTTTCCTATGCATCCGAACGGAGAGGGGAAGGAAAACCCATTGGAAAAACCCAGGCATCGGACTCGTTAGTTTGGGAGGTTGCCAGACAATCCGACGAGGGGAAGGATACCCACAGGAAAAACCTGAGCTAGTGGGCTCGTTAGTCTTAGGGTGACCTATTCCGGAGAGGGAACTCCGATACTAAACCCGGGCGATCGGCGAGAGCTTGACTTCGGGGGCAAGCAATTGAATATTAGGGGAGGAAGAACCTCAATATTAAACCCGGGCAATCGGGCTCGTTAATCTGATGGTACCAGACATCCGAACAAGGGGAAGGAAAATCCAATGCAAAAACCTGGGTGATCGGGCCTGTTCGTCTGGTGGTTTTCGGTCCTCGGCCGGAGAGGACGGTGGTCGGTCCTCTTTCTGAAGTGGCCCTCCTGCGGCTACTCCGCAGGAGTCACTCGGCAACA